CTCATGTTGCAACATCATAGAACTCCAACGTTACGGACCAGCCCATAGCTAAAGATTTTGTACCCTAACATGTCTTTACAAGTTGAACGCTCTTTCATAGGTTGAGACCAAGACTCGCAGAGCGAACTTATTAAATTTACAACATGTGAGATTTGGATTTGAGTTCCGAGTTCCCCAAGTGTCATGTAAAAATCTATGCCACTACATCAAAACCACTAAAAGTCGACTAAAAGTCGAGAGTTAAGTTGTATTACTATACTCTCTTATGGTCGTTTTTAGGTTTTTGTAATGTTCCATTATATTTTCTTTAGTCAAAGAAGCTTTAAATTTCCATCCTTAATTTTATTTTAATTCGGGAAAAAATAGAGTGAACCACACACAACATTGGTTGTTTTTCTTACCTCAAATTTTTTGCAAGGAATAGAAAGAATAGATTAAAAAATTCAGGTAAAACCAGATTTTATGGATGTGTTTATGAGCATACATGTTTTTTAATATTTTTTTTGGAGTGAAAATAGGGATTTCCCTATCAATAGATTACTGATAACCAAAATAAGATGTGCATACAAAAGAAGATATCTACTGCTGATTAAGGCCACGTCTCCGAGTTGGAGAAAAAAAAGCCTACATCTGAAAAAAAAACTATCACTTTATTTTCCGCTTTTCGTTCTTTCTTTTCATATGAAGGATTACAATAAGATTTTGTTCGAACATAATCTAGTCGTCGTGTTTACTATGAATCAAAGGTAAAATAGAAATCAGAGCATAGGTGCACCTATAGTTTCTAAATTTCAAGTCTACCTATTCTTGCTCCTTAAAAGGAAAAGTCTAATAAGGGAAATACTAATGAATTCACTAACTAAAAATCACGAACATTCATCAAAGTGGAAAAAAAGAGTAGTGTCCTCTTTCGAAAGCTCTCAAGTGTAAAACTTAAAAAGGTTTAAAAGAGGGACAGCAAATGGGCCAAGGAACAAATAGCAAAGGTCCTATTTTCGTGCAACAAAACAAGGCCTCAAAAAATAAATATGTACTTTTGATCGAGACTCAGAACAAAATGTAAAAAAATGCAAGGGCCCGTCTACTTATTTAAACAAAGTCCAAGGAGAATTGCTTGGCTAATTTCTCAACAAACTTTTATGCAACGTTTCAAAATACTAGCTGCAAACGTTTATGTTTCATGTTCCATCATTCGCAGCTGATCCTCTACAGATAGAAGTCTCACGCCGACACGTAAGCTTGGGCAAATCTATGCAGGTAAAGAGTACATCCTTATCCACAAATCCCAATCAATCTGCACCTTCCAAAAACTCACTCTCAAATATCAACGGCCAAGATCACAACCACAGAACGTCCAACAGTACGAGATCCACACGCAACAAAAGCCCACGACGCAAATAAATCCTACTCATCCCACTTCCCCTCCAAAAACTCAACCAAAATGTCGTTAATGGCGTCAATTATTCTCCGAAAATGTCGAAACCCTAACCGTAGATTTCTATTCCCAAGGCCGTTCTCGTCGCTACCGGAGAAAGGGAGCATAGAGAAGATCTTGGTGGCGAATCGGGGCGAGATCGCGTGTCGGATCATGCGGACCGCTAAGAGATTGGGGATCCGAACCGTAGCGGTTTACAGTGACGCTGATCGCAATGGACTCCACGTGAAATCGGCCGACGAGGCGGTGAGGATCGGGGAGGCGCCGGCGAGGGTTAGCTATCTCAATGGGTCGGCGATCATGGAGGCTGCTCGTCGAACTGGAGCTCAGGTTTAGGGTTTTGTTTCAGTGTATGACTTTGATTTAATTGTGTTAAGTGTATGTAATCGTTGCACTAGATTCTTTAATTTGTTGGCATTTCAATAATTAGCAATAAGACGCTGTAGATTGATCCTTTTCTTAGAAAGTTAATGACTACATAAATAATTTTTTGTTATTTAATTTGTTTTTGATGCATAGTAATGTGACGTCCCTGGTTAATGTGACGTCCCTGGTTTCACACATGCCTGTGGTCTAAGGTGGACCCAAAGATATCAAACCTGTCATGCACCAAACATTGTACATAAACATGTTTCACTATCACCATTGATATTACTCTAGTATATGTCAAATGTAAAGTAGTGAGAGTACAAGCAAATATAACAAAGATGAGAATACAAGGAACATAATGTAGAGAAGAGATATCTAACAGTATCTATAATTATGTCCCAACAGAAGAAAAAAAAGTACATCTGATAAACCGAAATAAAAATATTAAGTATTTAAAACATAAGTCAACTGAACAGTATTAAGTCACTCAGCCTCCAAAAATAAATACATCTCTATAAGACTAAGTACATGAATAGTCCATTGTGGAGCACCAACTAGCTACCTATGAATGACGGTAAATTATGCTAAATTTTCATCAACTTGCCGCTCTCTGAATCCCCGACCCGCAACCTGAAAAATATGAAAAACAACGAGCATCAGAGTGCTAGCAAAAACATCTCCATCGCCCCTAGGGGAAGGGGTAACATATATAAAATACTATACATAGCATGCATATATATATATATATATATATATATACCCTGTATTAAGAGGAGTTAAGATTTAGAAATCCACAACACGAGATGAGTACGTCGAGCGAATAATCCAAACAACAAAACCCTCATATATACCATGTATCTTAAATTGTGAATCGCTAAACGTCAACTCCAAATCCTATGAACAAACAATAAAGAAGTGCATCACAAACACCTTATCTAGGACATGTCATGCATGTCAAATCACAGTATCTCACCCTACGGGGCAAATATACCATCCTGTGCAATCTTTGTCAAAAAGTATATACCGTAACACATAAATGCCACAATGTTGGACTATGTCCATCAACTATACTCGCTTGAGTCCTAGGCGACCCGAAGATGTAGAGTGTAGTCGTCCACAGTATCATGCGGCTCCCGGACTAACGCTCTCAGTCATTGAAACTAATGTATGTCGCGGAGTATAGTCACCCGTAATATTATGCGGTGCACGGACCAACACTTTCAACAACCTCAGCAAAAACGCAACACGGAGTGTAGTCGCCCGCAGTGTCATGCGGTACATGGACTAACGCACTAGGAGTGTAGCCGCCCGCAATATCATGCGGTGCACGGACTAGCGCACTCAAACACTTAAACAAAGATGCACCGAGAAGTGTAGTCGCCCGCGGTCTCATGCGGTGCACGGACTAACGCACTTAAGCATGCAAAACCTTTGTAGTTCGAAACAATTGTCACTCCTTATCGTGATAAACACAAAACATGAGGCTACACACCCCCAAGGGTCCGTGTGTGCTCAAATCCTGCACGTGCACCTCATTGCCGTGCACGTGTATCGACGTAAGTGACCATGCATCGTGTCCGCGATCAAACATGTGTGGAAGATCCACACGCACAAAAGAAGGAAACAACATCAAATTAGTCAACTGATCCTTGGGAATCAGTTGACTGACACTTGATCAGTCGACTGATATCTCATCAGTCGACCAGACAGTGAGCATTCAAAATTCACAAGTCTCGACCGGTCGACTGATAATCATTCAGTCGACCAACCCGATAGGATCCAAATAAAATCCTGAGAGTTTGTCAGTCGACTGATCAATGGGGTCAGTCGACCAACCCGAACGCTGAAACAAAAACTACAATTTTCTAAAGTTAATCAATTTTGTCAAAATTTTGTAAAAATCAACATAGGGTATGAATCATGTTCTAAAACTTGCATTTACCGAAGTGAGGGCTTGGCCAAACAAGTATACATCAAACAAAAATCATGATTTTGGGATCCAATTTCCCTAAACATCACTAATCAAATTTAACTTGATTAATTAGGGTTCTAAGCCTAATTAATTCGTTAATTAGCCAATAATTTGAGTTCTAGTCATCAAGATCATATATCTTTTCTTTATTTAGTGATTGGATCTAAAGTTCTATTCATCAAACTTAGGGTTTAATCCATAAAAAATCAAAAATAATAGGGATGAGTTTGGAGAAGATGAACTCGCCTTTAGAAGAGGTTTTGATCTTTCAAACGGACGATTCGTACGAAATTGCTTCACAAAAGTTGTAGATCTTGCCCTCCTTTAGATCTTTGCTTCACAAAGTTTTTTCAAATTCGAACAATTTTTTTAGGGTTTGGAGAGATAGGGGTGCGACTGCTCAACACGAGAGAGAAGGGGAGAGAGAGAAAGAAAGATAGGGTTTGGGTTTATATATATATATATATATAAAGAATTACTAAAAATAAAAGTACAGTAGATTTCACCAGACTCGCGATACCGAGGCTGAAACTGCGAATTGATCTCAAACCAATTCCAATCTGATCCATTCATCCTAGAATGATCACCAATCATAATAAAACTCATTTATTATCATTTAAAATTATTTTTCAACTTTTCGGGGTTTTACATTTAATGTGTGCTTGTTCATTCATAAATAGGAATTGCCTCGCAGCTTGTAATTTGCTTTGGTACTGATAGTACATTTATTTGTGGTGTATAGGTTTACTGTTAGTTACTGAGTTTTGTACACAAACAACTGTGAATTTGTTCTTGTTGTGTTCAATATGTTTTCTGTTGGGCCCGAGTTTTGTACAAGTTTTGTACACAAAGCACTTATAAATTTATTCTTCTTTTATTTAAGGGAAACACTATCTATGAAGGGTCAACTTAGAGCTATCTGATAGGACCAAATATTGTATCAGATAGCTTAGAGGAGCCCGAGTAAGTCCTTTAAGGGTCACAAGAGTAGTGTACAGACATCTGAAGTTTGTTATTTTGTTTACAGAAAAAATGTCTTGACTGTTGGCAAAATGCCGCGCAATAGAGAATAAGGGAAAGGCTAGTCTAGGGGAACCAGTGTGTCTTTGAAGGTAGCCTGTGTAAATTTTTGTAATCAGGCATCGATCTCGAAACAGATTAAGAAGAGCCTATGCCCATGTCTACATAAATATGGGTAAATGTAGGTGAGAACAGTGGTGCATGTTAGGCGTGGACTGGAGAAGGCTTTGTGGCCTTGCCATAAATTATATAGCTATTTGGCAGGTTGGAAGAATTTTCTCTGATCATGTAACTAAGTCATGCCATCAAGAGTAAAAATTAGAAGGTTCCTTCGATTAGGAGTTCAAATCTTTATAGGTCCTAACAAAATAGGAAAGCATTTAAGGTCCCTCCCATTGCATGAACTTCAAATTTGTGGTGATGTTTAATAGTTATATTTTTATATTATAACCTCTGCAAGTTGAGCGCCTTTCCATGGGCTGAAGCTTGGGCTAACGGAATGAATCTTTTAAAATCCGTTTGAAATTTGTAACCTGTGTGAATTGAACCTGAGTTGCTCGTTCATTCCAATCATAGCATGATGTTCTCCACTTTCTTTCATTTTCTTAATTGATTTGAAATGTCAAATAATTTTTAGTAGTATGTATTTTCTCTAAGTCGCAAATAATTTGTAGTTTCTAGTGTAACCTTTATTCGATACCTTGTAGATGCTTTAACCTGTATTGCTGCTCCTAGAAACTGTCAATGTCAGCAGTATAGTTTTATATTGCACCATGTTGCAGTTAAGTGTTGATGACTCAACCTTTGATTTCTTTTTTTTTTTAAAAATCTTTTGGATCTATGTCTAATTCTGGGTCTGTAATATTTTGTGCAGGCTATTCATCCAGGCTATGGGTTTCTGTCTGAGAGTGCGGACTTCGCCCATCTTTGTGAAGCTGAAGGACTTAGATTTATTGGTCCTCCTGCATCTGCTATACGAGACATGGGCGACAAGAGGTATGTTTGGCTACTTCAGCATTTGTTACAATTGGTATTTCTTATTTCACAATTTTCATCCTACTTCTAAGTCTACTATAAAGTATCATTGTAAGGTGTGTGTTGTTACATCATTGCTAGTGCATCAAAGAGGATCATGGGTGCGGCTGGGGTGCCACTCGTACCTGGTTACCATGGGGACAACCAGGATACTGCCTTCTTAAAATCAGAAGCTGAAAAAATTGGTTACCCAATATTAATAAAACCAACACATGGTGGGGGAGGGAAGGTACAAACTTCACTGCCCTCCTTTGCATCGGAATGTCCAATATTTAATGAGTAATATGGATAACAGTTCTTTGGTGATTGTCCTTTTATTTATCGTTGTCATTTTAAGTGAAATTATTATTTGATTGAACTGATATCACATGTCTTCTCCAAACACATACTAGTCGCAGTAGAAATTAGTTAACATCTCTTAACTTTGATGGGAATAAAACTTGAGACCAGCTTGCTGTAATCTGTTTCTCAAATTTTTTTTGTTTTTTTTTTCATTTCAGCTGTGAACTTGACAGTGACATCTACCTAAATAAGCAAAATAATCCTCCATATTATATGCTGGTGAAAGAGTGATCCATCATGTACCTTCACTGTCCAAACTCCACAACACTACTGATTTGACTAAACCAGACTATAAATATTGCTTAGACACACGATACAATGATTTCATGAGACTACGTGCTAGTTCAGACTCCTAACAATATACTGAGGAGGTTGCTCCATATGGACTTATTCGTGAATTTTTCTGTGAAGGAATGCGTTTTTTATGTCAAAATGGGGGCGATCGAAACCAAATTTAGCTGCCAATAATTAAAAAATCCTAATAGTTGAAATTTTTGCTTCAGGGATAATATCTCTAAATAATTTTCTGTAGGCCTGGTTATATCCTTTGGCAACTCATGTTTTTTACTTTGTCAAGTGATTCATCCTGATGTAATCCAACTATTTCCCCCCCTAGGAGGTAGCTGAACAAGTTCCCATGGATAGACTGATATAATGCAAGCATTTCCTTATCTATAGGACCATAGCTGGCTTCAATGCGGAATTGGATAATGCTCCTGAAACATAGATGAGAAATAGAATTGGAGTCGCCATGTGTGATAAAAAAACAATTTGTTGAAAAAAGGTTATTATTATAAGAGAGAGGTTGAAATAGGTTGGGGTAACCATGCTTGTTTACCTTTCCAAAGAGCAATTGTAAGCTTTTGCATGTGTTTGCATATTAGGATTTATATGTGAAAAATCAACTAGTTAAGTATCTTTATCCATCATTTGAACGAGTTAGGAGCTGACGATACAGAACCTAGAAAAATCGAATGTTGCTTCAAATAAGGAAAATCAATACTCGTAAATAATTTATTAAGTAAAAGAGTGTAACAATGATATCCTTTTTGGGTACGAGTATAATTGTACAACCAAGAAAGGCATCTAAATGCACGAGGATTCAGTTTATCAATACTCAGATCATTTTGATAAAGAAGGGAAATACTTCCCAAAACTTGAAGGGGGAAAGAAAACACATGCTTACGAGGAAACTATACGTCATCTGTTTCAAACCCCTATAGGTTGCTAAATTGGTTAAGAAAACTGGTTTCCTTTATGCTAAGGTGCATAAGGAATTTGATTATATCAACATCACCATCCTGGTTCAAGGGTTGGCACTTGCTGGATGTGTCAGAGATTTGTCAGTCAATGTATCTTTTATATTTTGGTGCAGATACTTGTTGGACATTGATAGAGGGGCATCCAACATATTCCCTGCAACAAAGGCAGACCCTCCTGAATCACTATTTTTTGTTTCAAGAGTTTTACCTGGGAATCTTGTAGAATGTAGAGGTTGTTTGGAATTTATGTAGTGTACATGTCGAAGTGGGGTTAGAAAACCTAGTTTTCCTTTATGCGAGGTGCGGGAACTTACTTATAGCATTTTCTCATTACGGAGATATATTTAGTGGTCCTGCTGCTGTATTCCTATTACAGTATTCTATAATGTCTGGTCAATATCTTATGTAGTGCAGCAAAACGATAAAACTTTTGTAATACCTTATGTAGTGCAGCAAAACGATAAAACTTTTGTTACAAGTACATTGAAAGAGAATGCGTATAAAAATTTGTTTCTTGAAAGTGCCTTAGAGGAAAACCTATAATATTTTACTGCTTTTATTTTCCAGGGCATGAGAATAGTTCAAAATGCGGAAGAATTTATTGAAGCCTTTCTGGGAGCAAAGCGTGAGGCTGCTGCTTCCTTTGGTATAGACACAATCTTGTTAGAAAAGTATATAACTCAACCAAGACATGTTGAAGTTCAGGTAAAGTTCTCAGCACTGTAAATATTGATTAGTCATCCATCACTTATCTCTATTTATGTCATGCTGTATTCTTGACCAAATAATTCTGTCTGTTTTTATACATGCGCGCGCATACGTGTTTGCATATAAAAAGGACATTATTTACCTTTTTCTGAGTTATCTTTGATCCTAACCAAAAGTTTGTAAATCAAGCGTGATTTAGTACTTATTCTTTCGGTGTGTGCAGTAAAATCGTCTGACAGCCCGTCCAATGTGAAGAAATTCACCATTAGATCTACTTGAATCACTAACAATAATAATGGGACGTAAATGATTTGTATTTAAAATATTTCTTGTTTTCTTGTTTTCTTTGTTTTTACTCCCTAACACTAATAGTGGGATGTAAATTTGGGTTTTCATCATAACTCGAAGTACACATTAGCATATATTAAGATTTTGCTAGCATTTAACAAACATGCAAGATCTTGTGGGGGTAGATCCGTAAATTAAAAACCCTTAATTAAATTATACAAATTAAGAAAATGCCTCGTGAATGGAAAAACACTTTTGACTCAAAGCTGTAGAAAACATCAAGGAACTTAAAGATGTAGAAACAGAACTTTGGTTGGAGAATAATTGAACAAATGACTAGATGTTACATTTTTTCTACCTTGGCTTGGAATTCTGAGGCAGATTGACCTTGGCCTGAGCATATGAAATAAGCTAAACAAGGCTTGTCTTTTTAGCTATTTGGGAAGCTTCTTGTATGCTAACTAGCTATAGTCTTTGAGAAGCTTATGAATTTGCTTTCTGACCACTTAGAATCAGTACTGACAAAATCTTGCACACATGCCATGCATGCACACTATATGTGAGGCAAAGGAAGTCAAGCCAGCTAGTAGTTGACCAGGACTAGTTAACCAAACAATCTTGAAACTTGATGAGCGAGCTTGAGTTATTAAGCAAGCTGATTATCCGCTAAAAGTTAATTTATTAAGTTGCAGCTGTTTAAGGAGTTATCCTTATTATTATTATTATTATTTTTTTTTTAACTTATATAATTTTTGGCACATATTGAAGGTGTTCGGAGACAAACACGGGAATGTCATACATCTAAATGAAAGAGATTGCAGCTTGCAAAGAAGGCACCAGAAGATCATCGAAGAAGCTCCAGCAGTAACGTTCATATGTCTTATTGCTGATTTTGATTTTCATTTTGATGCTTGCAGTAGTTCTGATTGCTCTACTGTTGCAGCCAAATGTTGCTAATGATTTCCGCTCTCACTTGGGTAAAGCTGCTGTTGCTGCTGCCAAGGTGACACAATCCCCTTCCTCCTCCACACCTCCCCCAAGTAGCGCATACACATCCTTGATTATTATATCTGGATGGTTGTCTTTAAATTCCAATTTAAGTCTAACCTCTCTTTTCCGAGCTTCAACTGCGTCACTGTATTTGTTCTGAAGAAATTCATTTGCTACTGTCTGAGAAGGCAGTTGGTTATTACAGTGCAGGGACAGTGGAGTTTATAATGGACACCATTTCAGGCCAATTTTATTTCATGGAGATGAATACCCGCCTTCAGGTATGATGTTTGTCTTCAAATGAAAAGACTAATTTAAAATTTATCATTTTTTGTCTAGTCTGTATGAGTTTCCCAATGAAATTAATGAGCTTTGCGCTTGAATTATATGTCTATGAGTATGCGGTGTCACAAATCTTACACAAGTCAATCGAATATTACAATTTTCATATAATGCAGACAACTACAATAGCTGATAGGTAAATATTATATGAAGGTCGAACATCCTGTAACCGAGATGATTGTTGATCAAGATCTTGTAGAGTGGCAGATTAGAGTTGCCAATGGAGAACATCTGCCCTTAACTCAGTCAGAAGTTCCCTTGAAAGGTAAACATTCAGGTTCTGATATATGCTTGCATATTTTCCCTCCCATACATTTATAATGATTTTGACTGCTAATCCTGATCGACTGTCTTCCTTTTTTTCTTTTTTGTGGATTTATACAATGTGACATTTTAGCAAGGGATA